CCTTTCCTTCCAACTTTTCCAGCGACGCTTGGTTTAGTTCACCAACTTCAAAAGCTTACAGTAACGTACTGATGTAGTGGAGTCTTACAGAAACCTTAGCCAGGAAGTTCACCAGGTATAAAGTGCTTCAGATATATAGCTTTTTCCCATAAGCCCGCTTGATCCATGTTTCATTTGGCATCTGGGTCAAAACGCAAACCATAGCGAGTGATTGCCGTTTTGTACTGAACAGCGAATCAGTTTATATCGTTTAGTTGGTAGTCACTTTAGTCTGTATAGTTAGTTTATAGCATTTAGTCGGTCAGGGTAATCAGTATATATACTTTGGCTATATGTATGTATTCATAAGTGAAAGGAGTGCTAGACAGGCATCTCAAATATTAATGCCAGGGGTAAGTCGCGAATGCAGGCAAAGGGCACATGAGACTCTACGAGCTCCTTAAAACAGAGGAAAACGAAGGTTTATTTTGTAAAATTTATCGATTTTGTCCATTCACATACACTTTTCCAAGCTTAGTCACCGTCTGACTCTCTTGTCACAGCTGACGCCCGGGAGGAGCCCTTTTTGGGGTTCCTGCTTATCCTTCGCGGCTACAGTAGTACCTGACAAAATGACGTGTATCACACCTACCATTGCCCTGTCATGTTGTTCTTTGTAGTCCTCTGCTTTCCATAACTTAATATCAGTTTTGCGCGTCGTATAAAAGCACTGACCATCAAATATAGGGAAGAGTTTAGTCACGTGACTGCACGAGGAAGTCGATCGATGGTGGTACGTTGATGCTCCTTCCATACGAACGAACGTAATGCCGTTTGTAAGTATGAACATGGAACCCAATGGCAGAGACAGCCCATTTGTGATGGAGTTTCCGGACGTGTGCAATGACGTAGAAGATGCGTTTTTTAGGTTCTACTACGCGGCGAATTATAGAGAGCATATATGGGCGGAAGCATGGTTGTGGGCCTGCGGATGGCGCTACATTCCCAGGTATGGAGTTTGGCATTATACCCTATTGATACGTTTCCGGAGACGAGGCAGGTATTACGTCAGAGTTCAGCACATTTACTGGGATGTGGTTCATTGGACCGTTAAAAGACTTAATTGGCCGCTTGAAATGCAGATATAAATGCATCATACAAAACTCGACTATCCGATAATTGGTTTCGTTAAATTTCTTGCCTGTGTCTGCTAAGCAATTTTTGTTTAAACCTTGTTTGTCGAATTATGGATATGGTCAAATTGCGATGCACTGTGCCTGCGGCGGATTGGAGAGAAACTATGATAGATGGATCATTTTTCCTAAAACACACACTACATGGCTTTTCGATACTTAAACTCATCGTTTGCACCTGATTGTTGTGTGAACAGTTTATTGGTGAGTAAAAAATTGAAGTATATGGTGAATGAAAATTTTATTTTGTGACGCATAGACGTAATATTTAAATGAAGAGTGGTTTTTCAGCCTGGTTTTCGCCTCAACAACGCCCATGGACAGTGAATCTTCACAAACAGACAAAAGGAAACATTTTTTACACTATTCTCTTCAAGCAAGCTATTAGTACTATATAAATACTGTGAATACTGTATTAATATTTAGAAAATGAAACCTTATGCCATATAAAAGCATGAACCAACCATTAATTAATGAACAACAAGGAACAGTTGGAGCTGCGCTGCTGGTGTCATTTAGTTTGCGATATTTCAATCAAACCAAATTTTCAAATTATGGAAATGCACATCGGTCTTCATCAGCATATAGAGAACTCACCGATACTTAGACGACCAAGTTTATTTCAAAATATACGCATTTCAAGTTCCAAGTTCCATGCATCATTGGTGCTTCACAACAACCTGCTTCAATGTTCTAAGTTTTATAACAATGACGTCCTCCATGTTAGCTCATCTGCATAATAACAACAGTGGACATAACGACCCGATCATTTGGCGTATAAATACCTGCCTTGAAAGAGAAGGCCTTCTTGCCTTTAATCTGGACAATACCTGAGCAACGGATTAAAATTCTGACTATGCTTATCAGTTGTTCATCCACCGGAGGTGTCTGCAGGGTTCTGAGCAGCTTCCACCTGTGCACTCTGTTGTAATCCTTTCCAGGATGAAGTACTGAGCTCAATAGCTCTTTACTGGTCGAGAATAAAGATCTAAAATAAACGTGCAAGAAAATCACAAATAAAAATACATAGAAAAAACTCAGAAAAGAGAACATTTAAATTTAGCCCTGTTCTGGGTAGCAGAAAGTAACCGAAAATAACCGAAATGAAAGTCCGACCACCGTGTATGGCAGCAAGGAAACAGATGCCATCCGTTTACTTTTGTTTAACAACCGATTGAAGCTGAAAGCCGGCAATCTGTCAAGGTCATATTTAAGGGCATGACAACATCTGTCCAAGTCTAGTTTATAACCAACTTCGTTGGCAGGCAGTATCATGGTAAGCTTTCACATGTGCTGTTGTTGCGACCGGGAACAGGACCAGTGCCGGATGTCACACTACCGCATGATCGTCGTTTGCCCATGAACCAGCCATTATATC